ATATAAATGCAAAAGGTATGAGAGGTGTCATGGTGGAGTTAGAGGTTATGACAAACATGAATGAGGGGACATGTTCCATGAGGACTCAAGATTAAAGTAAGAGTTTGGCAAAGCTGTATGTACAGTTGCATGGTGAGAATGACGTAGTTGAAAATCATTCCGCTAATAGTGGGAAACAGAGCCCACAGAAGACGGCTGTGATGCGGTCAGGGTGGGGATATCTCCTAACCATGTCTCTTAAGCCTCTTTGAATTCTGAACCACATCATATGGGCCATAGATATGATAATAATGATGACGATTATGAAGGTATTCTTCAATAATATTAGAAACCTGATTGAATAGATCAAAATTTCAAGGGGAAAAAAAAAGAAATGCAAAACAGATTGTTATTTAAGTCATGAAGAATATACTGCCTTTGCACAAGCAACATAGGAAAAGCGACTGGTAGTTACGGCAATGAAAACCAGAACAATCCTGAGACCTGACTGCCTTGTAGTCCCTAACATTTGCAAACGAGGCCACGTGTTTAAAAAAAAAAAAAAGGTAAATAAAATATAGTTGAATGCAAGCAAGGTCAGGAAGAAGAAGAAAGAGGGAAGATGAGTAGCTTTTCAGATAGATAATGTAAAGGAAAAAAAATGAGGTTACAAGATATTATATTTACACTTCAATTAAAAATAAAAATAAATTTTTAAGTTTTTAAAGAATTGTATGAACCAAGGAAGTGTATACAGGAATCAGCTAACAGCTTTGTATCACAAAATAAACACTAAATAAACAGATACAGTGGGATATATCTACTATCTATCTATCTCCAGGAAACATAATATTGTCTGAAAATCCAATAATAGATAAGTATAAAGCTTCAGAGACTTCTAAGGTTTTATATTTTTATCTGATTTTTTAAAAATTTAATTATACTCTGGTGGAAGGGGCACCTTATCATAAGAGTTTGAAAGCAAAACACTGAATTATGAAAGAAGCATTAAGGAGCAATAACTCAAGACGAAGTAGAAATCTTGCGGATTATTAATTGTACGAGGACACCTCACAGCTACTGGCTAGTCTGAGAGTTGTTGAGCAGGTCATAAATTCCCGGAAACTAAGGGAGAGTAACTGAATTAAGCGTCTATTAATCAGAAAGGATAAGGAAGCCCTGGTAATTAAGTAGCTGTCACCTGCACGTCAATACTCGGAAAGCCCAAGTGCAAACCATCAAACAATCAATTTGTAATCACAGAGAACTGAGAACAGAGCTCTGAGAACAGAAAGACGGACACAACACACCTTTTGGAGAATAATTTCATTTCATGATGAAGCGATAGGAGAGAGACAAAGAGAGAGAAAGAGAGAGAGAGACTGCGTGGAATTCGGCAATACATTTTCATCTTAAACCATAAATTCTTAGAACTGTCAATCTCAATGTGGCAGCAGAGTATAGGGGGCAGGCATGCCGTCTTTAAAATCATTTGAACTGAAATAGATATTTTGTTTCACAAATTAAACACTCCTTAGATACTGCAGATACTTGAGATATTTTCTGCTACAATCACAAAGGAATTCCGCCTCTTTTGATGAGCACAAAGGTGATTTCACTCATTTTTATAGGACTGTCATAATATTGAAACAATCAGTAGGGCTCTCCTATTCTTTGAGACAGCACGTCGGTGCACATAAATAGTCTTATCAATCATCTCCTAAAAAATGCCTTCAGGAGAAGAAGTCTTGCCAAAGTAATCACTTTGCACTTATCATGAATGATAGACTCAGTCTTGGCCACCAATTTATCCTACTGATGTGTGTGGCATAATTTCTCTGGGATGAATTTGATGAGTCTTATGACCCACCATAAGAAAAGAAAAACTGCTATCATCCCCAAATGTAGTACACATTCACTTGATACTCATTTCTTCCAAATGTGATAGCATTATTTATCTCAACTAAGTCCAGATCTCTGAAATGAGTGTTTTATTTGAGGATCTTAGTAGCTTTCACACAGTGATCACTGCTATGCCTCCTCTTCTTTAGGAGAAAGTAGCTAATAATTCAAGATTGCAACATTCATCAGGACTTGACTTTATCTCAAAGACTTCTTAGACAGAGTCACTAGTTCAGTATTTAACCATATCCATTACTGTTTTGACAAAACTATATATATCAAAACTATATCAAAAAATTACTAGAAAAATCCAAGTTAGCTAGAAATTATATGTAAAAATAGCACTTTCACTTCAAAAAAGAATTATGAAAAGAAGAAAACAATAATAGTCCATAATTCTAACATCACTGCAACATCTGTTCTCCTTCAACATAAATAAATACAACATAAATAAAAAAAGGCCCCCAGTACTTCTTAAGTATATTAGCAGTTTCCATGTAACTGTTCAGAAATATTCTATGCAGAACCAATACTGTTATTTTTTACTTATTTAGATCTGCTGGTAAAATAGGCACTATCCTAGCTTTAACTATTTTTAGTTTAATAGTCATTTGAAATTATTCCACGTTAGCAGATAAAAATATGCAGTTTTTGACTCACACATAATATTCCATGGTGAAGATACCATAATTAACCAGATATGATGGATATTTCGATTTTAGAACTGACTTAGCTTTGAAGGAAAAAAAAAAAACCTGTTGCATAAGTACATCAAGAATTGGCTGAGCCACAAATAAAAATACAATTTAAATGCTATATTTTTTTTAAAAGTCAAGCACAGATGAGAGTTTTTCTCAAGATCAAATAGAAAAAAGATACCACCCATTCAACTTGCTTTGGAGCATTAGGGAGTCAAGTTTTGGGAGAACTAAATGAGATAATGCTTGTAAAACCTTGGCTGACTGCCAGAAAATAATCAGGGCTGAAAAATGTTCATTTTGGAAGCCACCTGGAGATGGCGCTAGAGAGCCAGAGTGTAAGGCTTGTTGGCCCCCAGGTGAGCCAAGAGGAGGGGACCTGGGTAGTGGACCCATGAGGTTGAGATGGAGCAGAAAAAATATTCCCAAAGATAGGAAAACGGCAATTAAGGTAATGAGGCAGAAGAGTGTTTGAAAGAAAGTTAAGGCAAAGCATAAACTGTTCTCAGGAGAGTGGAGTTGGACAGTGCACTTGGAAATGGCTGACAGGAGGCTGGGTGGTACAGCGAAAGGGAGAATAAGCTGGAAGCAAATGAGAATAATGAGAATCACTTGTTTTTTTTTTTTTTATCAGAATTGTGGCTACTTTGTACAGAGAATTCTTGCTAAAGATGAGCTTTTTTAAAAAAAAAAAAAAGCTTTCCTAAACCATGAATGAGGTCTTAAGAAATATATGCTATAGAATATATTCTTTGAATTGAAAATACTATCTCTCTAAGTAAAGTTTTCCCAAATCACTGAGTTCCGCAACACTTTCTGTTATAGAAACTGCAGACCAAACAGTAGAGAGAAGGGGGACAGCTGACACGAAGGTTCTTACAACTCTAAAATGAGATGATATAACGTAATGCAATATATCACATGTTTTTATAAAATATACTAGACCTTCCATTAATCACCATGAGATTCTCATTAGCCCTTGTAGAAAAATCGTTAATACACAAGAAAGTTCTTTTCTAACTTGAACAAGGTGAGAGGAAAAAGCAGAAGTCAAAGTATTATTTAATTATTAGATCTAAGTGGCAGGACTTTCAGAGACATGAAGATTAAAAGAACTCAAAGTTCCAGGCACCCTATGAGTGCTCTCAATAAAGGCAAGAAATGTAAGTTTAGAAAATACATTCTAACATTCAAAGAACATAATGAAAAAAGAACACTAAGCATGTCAGCCAAATATTTTATTTAAATTTAATTATGTTCCTGTAGTTAATAATTTTTTCTGCAAAATCTAAGAATCTCTATGAGATATTCAGATATAAACTATGAAATAATCATTTACTGTATCAGGAAATAGGCTTAAACTACAGTAAATATGATCACACAGAAATACATAAACAGTTTTTATTATTTAAATTTATTTAATTGGAGTGTATGTTTGTCATGGTAAGCTTAATTTGCTAATGATTTCTTTTTCTGTTGTTGTTAATAATATTTTAAATGAACTTAACACTCTAGTGGTAACGAAACCACCTATCTTCCTGTGGAGTAGGCATGCTTGTAAATCAGAAAGCTTAAGGCCCTCTCTTTTCGTAGATTTTTAAAAATAAAATACACGAAGACATTCAAGTCCCACTGCAACCCAAGCCTTCATTCTATAACAATCACCAGCATTGTAAAATCAAAAGACCAATTCCCAGCCAGTTATTATTGACCACTGTTATAGATTACGGAGGGAGAATTTAGGACTTTCTCAAGCTCAGGAGATTACTTCAGAGTACAATCAGTTATAGGAAGCAAAGGAAAAGAAAATGTCAAAGAAATTCTAGACAATGAGGGGAAAAATGGGAAAAAAATTTCACTCCTAAGCTTGAGAACAATTGACAACATAGAAATAAATACTGCTTCAAACAGACACACAGGGACGTAACCCCACTCTAACAAAGGTTCACACGCGCATACACACACACACACACACACAAAGAGACAATTGTAGGAGGGACGTATTAACACTGCTGAGACTCAAATTCATATATCCATGAGTCTTTGCACAGGTATTCCCATTTCACTGAATTTCTTCACTCTCTAAAACTCATAAAGCTAAATGAAAAAGAAATAAGATACTTGATAAGCAAGACAGATTGGACAGAAGGTAACTAATAGTTACCGAAAAAGTGGATTGTTGGTAGGTCTGAAATAGGTAGAACGGAAGACAGAATGTTCAAATGCCACAAAAATGCTATTGCATCTCCAAAATGCCAAAAAGGATCAAATTTATTTCTAACCAACTAAAGAGAAGAAATTGATATACAGTCTAACCTGTGGGGCAAAGTTAAAACTGAAGTGGTCCATTCAAGGCCTGGGAAAAGAAAGCAAGGATGAAAGGAGCCATGACGTTTTTGCAGACCACAACACATAAAATACCTTTTTACTATGTCTTCCCCATTCCAGCAGGGCAGCCCATCAGCAGCGGCTAATTCATTAACACAAAGCTCATCAGCCAGGCCTCCGTAGAACGTCCTGTACAGTCGAAGGCTGTTGATAAATTCTCTGAGTGGGAAAACAAAGAAAACAATTAAAACCAACAACCAGAATAAATGCCGGTATAAATGGCATAATTTGTTATGAATGATATATAGAATGCAACGTTTTAAATTTTACTGCTTATTTTTTAGATATTCTCAATACTTTTCTAACAATCAAGATAAATACTATACTTTTTTTTAAGAAAGAAGGCTGGTACTCAAGTTTACTCTTTTGAGTCCAAGTTTTCACAGGGTATGAATTTTATATATCTCAGGTCCAGAAGTTGTGAAGAGTACACGCACACACACACACACACACACCCCACTTTACGTAGTATCTGTAGTATCCCTAAAAGCCTTTGCTAGCTGTGCCATCTAAATCACAGTAATATTAACTACTCACTTTTCTGGACAGAAATGTCAGAGGCTTTTAACAACTAATCGATTGCTTACTGATTAAAAGTCTATTAAACTTGGGTGGTTTTCCTATTTGGGTCTTCTCTTTGGTGTATAACAAGCTAAAATAAAATGTCTCCACTGATGTGGGAAGCAGAGGCAGAAGAAAAATTATTAAATTTCCTCCCTACCTACAGCCCATTGACAAGACCTTGACACAGGCACAGTGACCTTCCTCTAGGGACTCAACTGCCTCTATGTTAATACTTTGCTAAGGGCAACAGACTATCTTAGCCCAACCCCAAGGATCCTGTAAGTCTCTTCTAACACATAAGAATTCCTTTGGAAACTTCCTTTATCTCTACCCAACAAGATACATGTTTGCAATCATCCCCCAAGCATATGATATACATCTGAAGGGTCTCACGACTCAGATTTTATTAGACAGCAATAAATGGCACTTTCCCAACAACAGCTAGTCCCCTCAAGGTCCTAGAACCCTTGCTTCCAAAATACCTGGGAGACTTACATGCTATCCCTAACTCCCTCCCAACTTGAAAATACATAATGTGCCACTCCTCATGACCCCAGTGCAGCTCTTTCTGCTCAAGGGTCCTGTTCCCATGCTTTAATAAAACCGCCCTTCTGCACCAAAGACATCTCAAGAATTTTTTCTTGGCTATTAACTTCAAACCCTAACATCTTTCCTACATCATTCACTAAATATGAAAAAACTCAAATATGTAACATGTTTTAAAAAGCATGAAAATAAAAGTTGTTGTAAGGAATATTATTTAATACATGGACTGTTTTTTCCCCTCTCCTCTCATACTACATTTCTTTCCCCCATTAATTATGGGAAGGGAAAATTCAACAAAGAAAGTAGTTTGCTTTTTACTTTAAAAAGCCAAAATTTCAAGTTTTAAAATCAAAGCTTTGAGGTCCTAAGAATCTGAATTCTAACATTTCAAAAAACCAAGTCCGAAAAACTATACTTCTGAACTTTTATAATATAAAACAGTGTTTTGGACAATGAAATGAAAAGCCACTACCTTAATACAGAAGAGACGTCCTCTGGAAGTCTGGAGAAGGAAAGCAAACCAGAACTCCATAGGCTGAGGAGCTAAAATGCAGCAATTATAAAAGTACATTCCGACTGACATATTAAAAACAACTTCTTTAAAAATGAGATCAAAGAGGAGGGGTGGCTCTAAATTATAGCTGAAATGAGCAAATTTAAAAAAAAATTAATCTTACTTTGACAGCACTGATGCTCAACTTTATTAATTTTAAAATTCTCTCTCTTAATGGTTTCCGAAGAACTCTTTGTGGAAATAGCTGGAGTTTAAGTAACTTCTAATCTATAGGAAGGATAAATGTCATTTTCAAATATGTAAATCTGAAATCAGAGAGATCAGAAGCTTCCACAGAAAACGTTTGGTGACTATTTCACCAAATTTTTAGCAAAGCTTGACTAGACATGTAATAACAATAGGACTGCTGGAAGTATAAGTCTGACTTCTAAATTATACTAAATCCTCCCCCCCAAAGTATACTGTAACCACTCACTTATACTTACTTATACCTTTTTTTTAGGAGGAGGGGCAGAGGGAGAGGGAGAGAAAGAATCTTAAGCAGGCTCCATGCCTAGCACAGTGCCCAGTGCCAGGCTCGATCTTAATTCCCTGAGATCATGACCTGAGCTGAAATCAGGAGTCAGACGCTTAACTGATAGGGGCACCCAGGCGCCCCTATAATTATTTATACTTTAAGTTAGTTTCGATCAACTAGAAAATAAGTCCCACAAGGGCCATATTCATGCTAACTGAAATGCATGAACAAATACCAGTTCTCATGATGCAGCTACTAAAACATAATGGATGAAGCCAACTGATTCCTTCCTAGAGGGGTGGAGTTTAATAAGTGGAAAGATGTGTGACTCCTGTCCTGAATTCCGTTCACTATAAATGATCACTTATTTGGCATCAAAGATTCTTCCAGAAATGAACAGCCCTGGCACAAATGACTGGAATGCTGAGATTGCCAAATTGCTGGGATAAAACTGAATGGGAATTTCTTACAGACCCCAAACCTCCTCCTCCAATCTTGGTGAATGGTGCCTCACAACCAACAGATCATCTTGGGAAAAGCTTTACATCTTTCTTGGCTAGTCCTCTTTCCCAATGCTACTCTCACTGCCTTCCTTGAGCCCTTATCATCTCTCTGGAATGACTGCATACCTCTAACCTCTTCCTTAACAATCACCCCTCATCCTCCAAGAAATCCACCTCTTCAAATTCAAATCTGATATGCCCACGCCACGTCACTCACTTGCTTAAAGCCATCAATGGCTCTCTCTTCTCTACAGTATAAAATCCAAATTTCTTGGAAAGGCGTATAAGGCACGCTCTCACCTCCATTTTGGCAGCAACCCAAACCATACTTTGGGCTTCCACAAAAGTGAGAGACTTGCTGTTCCCCAAACAGACCTTCAAGCTTTTGCATGAGCTCCATCTGAAAGCATCATATCCTTAGAGATTTCCACTCATTCTATAGGCAACAGCTATCAGTTACTTGTCACAAACTACTAAACACTATTGAGTACCAACCTCTGTGTTGGCACTATAGCTCAACAAGACAGTCCCTACCTTCTAAGAATGCACTATCTAGTGAAAACCCACAATAACAACACAGTGTTAACAGTGCCACCTTTGAAGACAGAGAAGGAATCAGGAAATTGTATAAACAAGATACTACTTCAGTGTTTCATGTAAAAAAAAAAAGCAAACAACAACAAACAAAAAACAATAAGCAAACTTAAAGAGGAAAGAGAATATTGTGTTCAAAGATTCATATGCAGTTTAGCAAGTGGGGAGTGAGCTTATGAGAGCTTTAGTTAAAAGGTAGGAAGAGGCCAGTTTGTAATCAGCCTTATTGATCATCAAAAAACTGTTTCAGTTTTATTCAGAAGGCAATGGAAGGCATTAAAAGTTTTCCAGCAGGCGAGTGATGGCCTCATGACAGTGTTGTGGAAATACATAGAAAGTCAGTGAGGTCACTTAGCGGGCTATAACCAAGACTCAGGGGGAAAAAATATGAGGATGAGAAGAAAACACCTGTCAGTGAATATCATGAAAAGTGTTAGATTTGAAAGACATTAGGAATCTAGACTTGACAGTAAAAGTAAAAGTTTTAATATAACTCCTAATTGTCTTTCTCAACCTCTCTGAGGTGACGGAGGGGATGATTATCTCAGTACTATTCACTGAGAGAAGAAATAAAGGAAGGGAAATATAATGCTTTCAATGTCCCACACTATACTTAGGATTGCTCTTCTCCTGCTCAACATTTTCCTCTTTCCATGGCACATATCACTGTCTAGTCTAGCATGTCACGTACGTACTTATTATGTTTTACTGTTTCTTATCCGTCTCCCAGTCTAGAATAAAAGACTCGGGCAGGCAGGAGCTTCTGTGTGTGTGTGTGTGTGTGTGTGTGAGATTCTGCTCATCAATATAGATCTTAAAATAGTCGTGAAGGCATATAGTAAGCTCAATAATCAGTAATTAAATTAATGAATGAGTTAACACTAATTAATAATTAAGTCTACTCTCAACATGTTCGGGGTTTGTGATTTCTTTGGAATGTACAGAAAGAGCAATCAAGCACAATGCTACTTTCAGACCAACTCTGTGTAACATCATCTGGATATCTTGCCAAAATGCAGATTCAATTCAATAGTTCTGGGGTGGAACCCAAGATTCTACATTTCAATGAAACACTCAGAGGATATTGAAGCTACTGGTTCAAGAACCATGAATACCATGGACCTTTGCTGTTGGATATGTAACCTTGGCATCAGGGGATTGGGTGTGTGAATGTGAGAGTCATTATCTCCAGAGGGGGTGACCAAAGTCATGAAGGTAGATGAAATCTCCCAGGCAAATAATAGGCAGAAAGAAAAACTCAAAGAAACTCAGAAGTACAGTGAGCAAAGGAAAAAAATCTTCAATGATAAGAGCTGTGGACATTAAAGAATAAGGGAATTTGAACCTAGAGAGATTCCCCACTGTATAAAATGCCATTATGAGTTACTGAAAATAATGAAAATGCCCATTATATGTGATCCATCCCTCAGATGGAACTCAAACCCTGGTTGAGACAATACAAATTGTCTCAATTTGTATGTTGAGACAAGGTCTTTAAAAAGTAAATAAGTTCAAATGAAGTCATATGGATAGATCCTAATTCAATAAGGACTGCTGTCCTAGTAATAAGATGAGGGTGGGGGTTCATGGACACAGAGGAGAGGCCATGTGAGGACATACTGGGGCGAAGGCAGCCATCTGCAAACCCAAGAGAGAAACCTCAGCAGAAACCAAACCTGCCAACATCTTGATCTTGGACTTCCAGCTTCCAAACTCTGAGAAAATTGATGTCTATTGTTTAAGCCACCTGGTCTGTGGTATTTTGTTATGGCAGCCCTAGCAAACTATACAATAATGAAAGCATTTGGAATAGAGTACTGGCCTTCAGATTTGCAGTACGATCCATCTCAAAGAGAGAGTGAGAAACTAAGAGTGCCAAAGACAAACATTAGGGAAGTTTTGTGTGTGTGTGTGTGTGTGT